GGAGGTTTGCAGGGGCATTGCCATGTGCTTTTGCTCAATTTGCTTTGCTACTTTACTGCGCTTATACTCGGATAGGCCAGAATATAGTAAATTGTACGCTCAAGGTGACAACAACCCATTTACACCTTCTTTATTGATGAAAATGTTTCGTTAAACACGGCTCTTCGAACACCAACTTGTGAAAAAAGCCTTGTACCCTCGAGCCAGACCCCCGCCCAACTGAGGTCCAAAATGCTCTTGTCTGCCTAAATCACATTGTGAACACCACTTCATATAAAACTACAAATGTATACACGGTTTTACCTTTTGAAGAGGGTAATAGTTGCTGTTCCTTAGAAAAGTAAGAAGCTTTGGACGGTCAAATTCAGCGTAAAGGGGGATCTACAAACAGGAGAAAAAAGTTTTATGGACTCTTGAAAAATAAACGTTTAGTTGATGTTCTAATATCTTGGCTTTGAGCAGAGGTTTACTGTCAAGAAACACGTGTGAAAGTCAGCGTTTGTGCTTTTCATATTCCTGGTCCTTTCTGCAGTATGCTGCGTTATAACAGATTTAGTCGCAGAAGCGCTTAGCCGTTAACTTTATTAAAGCATGGTAAAAAGGAGCCAAAAAAAAAAAAAAAATAGCGAACCCTTGGAAGAAACAGTTGCAAGTCTTCTTTCCCGCACTTTTTTTGGCCAGTTTGCACGAGTAATTGTATGATTCACTTTCCCGCGTCATAAATTGTTCCGTCTGCATGCTTCATTTTCCTGTGCTTTGCACCAGTTGCAAGCCTAATTATTTTCCCGTGCTTCGCATGATCGATTGCATGCTAAATTTTTTCCCGCGCTTTACACCGACTGCAAGCTAGGTTTTAGCTCGCTTTGAAACGATTGCGTATTTGCACAAGTTGCAAGGTTCAATTCCAATCACAATTTACATAACATTAACCAACCTAAACTCGTAGCAAGGCAACAGATCATTTAGTACCTGTAACTCGTGATAATCCATCCCAGCTTGAGGATCTTTGACGAATAGCGCATCAAGGTACTGAATCGAGAACAAAGATTGACTTAGTACATTATGTACAAAGCATTTAAAATTTAAAGTTTCAACACTAAAACGAAATATATTGAGCAAATGCTTTCCTCTAGCACTGTATGTAATGCAGAACAAGGTGGTTCTAGCTTTGGGTCTGTGGATGAAATCCTAAAGCGTGAACATTCAAATGAAAATTTCCTGTGGTACTGTTTATTATACCGCACAAGGTATTCGACATTTGGAGTCTGTGGATGAAATCCTAAAGTTTGTAACATACATGTAGGCAACTGAAAGCGACTGAGCAGTGCTTTCCTGTGGTACAATTCATTATACTGCACAACGTGATTCTAACTTTTGAGTCTTGGGACGAAATCCATAAGTGTTTTGTGGGTTCTTAATATGAAATGTGTTTGTTTACGAAACAATCCAGTCTAATCTTCTATGGACAATGCTTTTAGTGAGCGGAGTTCGTTCAGTTTTTTTTTTTAACAAAAACAACAACAAACAGCAACAACAACAACAGATTGAGTCAAATTTCACTTACCACGTGCAGGAGCTCAGATCTTTTATTTAGCTGACGCACGACATCTTCAACCTATCAGTTACCGCAAAAAAGTTTAATATTTTCGGGGGCTTCACAAATTGCGTAAAGGACAAAAGAACATCAAAGAACATCATAACTAAACTTACAGGCACTTTGTCAATATTGTCAATCAACATCTTCACGGCTTTCTGCAAAAAAAGAAGATAAAAAAGAATGAGGTTTTTTGTCCAATTAAGTACTTTCTTATTTATAGCAAAGTTCTAACTTTTGGGTCCGTCGATGAAATCTTATCTTCAGACCATTCAAATGAAACCTCTTAAGTAATACTATCACGTGGTACCATTTATTTTCTAGTAAGAAATCTGGAATTTCTCGTGAACATTTCGACCTCGATGGAAAGGTTACAAGAAGTAGTTATAGCTACCTCTTTATCGAAGTCCATGAGCATTATAATCTTGTCCTGGATTGAATCGAACAAGTTGTGTTTATGGATCAGGTTAAACACATCAGTGTGACCAAGTCTGTGAAAGAAAGTAAGAATTTTATTACATATATTCGTGATAAATTTCGTTTAAGGCCTAGGCCAAACGTCGAACTGTTCATGAGACGAATCAAACTCTAATTTGGGTCGACTTAAATTAAGTTAAGATCGTCTGTTGGGACAGACGTCGAACTTAGGACGCGTCAAACCAATCAACTGAATCAGATCAGTAAAAATTTTTTTCCCGAACGCGGCTAAATATACATTATCATACCAGTTTTTAATTTTTCAGTTTAGTTCGTCGCATGTGAAGATGATCAACGTTTGTCCCGGAGACGATCTTTAGACGTTCTATCCGTCTGAAGCAGACGGATAGAACGTGTTGGACGATTCAAACTCATTCAGACGAACTTTACTGAGCCAGACGTCGAACTTTTCGTGAACGTAACTCACCAAGTTTGGTTCGACTCATTAAAAGTTCTACGTTTGGCCTAGACTTCACTGAGCCGACTAAACTAAAAATTTCTCACTTGGCGCCCCTCCAACCGCTTCAAACAACAACGCTTTCAAACTCAAAAGTAACTCAAAACCACGGAGATAACGCAACATAACGTTCTTGGAAACCAGATCCCAAATTCCTCTTTCTGCAACCGTAATTTCTAGTTCTGAATCATTCTGTCTTAAAAACTACATAAAGCAATTAAAACAATGCTTGTTCGCAACTTCATACGCTTGAAAGGTCGTTGAAAATACTCCGTTTGAAATGTGGATGGTAAAAAATGATTTTCATCCGACTTAAAAACATCCATTCAACACTAATTTCCGTTACATTTTCTTTAACCTCCTAAATTCTAACGTCCAAATTTAGGATAGACTTATTTTTCAGTGGCAGACAGGTTTAACTGATAATTTGAAACTTATCAACTTACTTAAGGTAAATGGCCAGTCCCTTGTCATATCTTGTCAGTCTAGTGTAACTGTAATGGAACACCAGAGGGCAAATGTCAGTCACTGAATGAGGGGACAAAAAGTACATAATTTCATTCTCAACAGCTTACAGTTCTCCGAGAGTTTCCAAAAGCACACGGTTGTCTGGATCTTTCTCCAGCTGGTCCTAACAAGACATAAAATAGAAAAAAAAAGAAAGAACAGAAAAGAAAGAAAGAAATGTGAAAACAGCCACAACTCTCTGTTTCAACGCTCTTTGAAGAAAGTGTTGTGTTCAACTAATGTTTCCACCCTTTCATACTGCAGTTATGGACTGCGCTTTTGACTGCGTGATCACTCATACGTAATATGTTTATGATTGGCTTATCATTCGACTGTACGGTGCTTATCATTGGCTGAAAAGCCGCTTGTAAAGCGCTTATGATTCGCAGGGTGCAAATGATTGGCTGAACAGTGGCTGTATAGCACTAATGATTTGCTGAACTCTTCCCCAAACGGCACTAACGATTGGCTGATCGCTTACCTGCACTGCGCTTATGATTGGCTGAACACTGTACAAGTCTGCAGGCCAATCCTTTATAAGGTTTTGAAATTTCTGCAAAATAAAAAATAGTGCGCGTTGGTTGCTTGTGTCGGCTGAGTGAAAAACATGAAATACTCGAATCACCAGTTTCAAGAAAAACTGTACTAAGATTTACTAAGCTGTGGTAATAAGCGAACCAGCGAAGAGAATTGCAAGAAAGGACGCCCAGTATCAGACTGTTGGTGTTATCATACCGACCAATGAACATAGTGTGCCCCATGATAACAACCAATAAAACACTGGCTGATATCACCTGACATCCTGCCCATAGCCAATCAGATGACACGCATAAAGTGATGTCATCACGTACTGGAGAATTTCGTCACAAAGGGGGGATTCATTTGCAACATACGCGTATAGCTGTCGCATATGTTTATGTTGTAAAGTGGTCGTCAGTTTTCAAGACCTCAAAGGTGACTTTGCCGAACAATCTGTTTCAGATGAAAGGAAATCTAGCCTATGAATACATCCGTCTCTCATCGCTTCTCGCCGCTTGGGATATTTTGCGGGAGAGACCGTCGTCTGCGCCTCAACGACAGAAATAGCTAAAACAATATGATCAGTACGTCTACCAATAAGAGCTCCTGACCAGATTCTTGACAGATTTTACGTCATCAGTATGCAATTTCCATCGTTGATGCGCAGACATCTGTCCAGCGAAACCTACCAAGCGGCGAGGAGCAAGGAGAGACGGCTGTATTCGCAGGCTAGAAGAAATCTTCGGAGTTTCAGTATCACTACGGAAAATACATAGAAATGAATATAACACGCCAGGAGTGATTACCTTGTAATCCTTTTTCAGGAAGTCGTACAAAACCATTTCATAAATTGCTGAACTTAGTTTCACAGCGCTTGTTGGGATGTACGGTGCAATGGCCTGGTCAACAACAACAACAACAACAAAACATTATTATTTTTTAACTACCAACAAGTTTGGATGGATCTCACTACCATCCTTAAGTTTCACTTGCAGTAATCACTCGGAAGTGCTGCTGAAATTTCACACAATACCCCGCTTTTTCTATAGCTTCCCACAAACTTGGAGAAGAAGCCCATAAGACAAACAAGAATTAGGGAGCTTAACCAACGAGAACGACGACAGCAACGAGAACGTGAAAAAGCAATACGTTTTGATTAGCAAACCAACAGCTCTGCACGTGCATCACGCTTTTTTGTACATTTCTTTGCTGTCACTGCACAACTACGACGTGAAAATGCCCAATTTCACGTTTTGTGCAGGGGGTGAACACACAAGACAAAGATTTTGTGATTGTTTTTCAAAACTTAGATACTGTCCTTAAGAATTCATCTCCAAAAAATTCATCACCATTTAACAAATTACACGACTTGGAATGAGAGCGATGAATTTTGTAACAGGGTGAGTTCACTTTTTAAGAGACGTTTTCACTGCCGTCGTCATCGTCGTTGCTTAAGTTTCCTAATGGGTGCGTGAGAGGCTAACTTTTCTGTGCTATTACGAATCTAATATCACCAAAGAAGAAAATATGTCCTTAACAGAGCAAACAATAGATCATGCAAAATGCGCAAAAAGCCAACACTAGTCACAGTGGAGGCAAAATCAAATTTCCATTAAAGACTAACTTGAAACCTACTTCCAATTGATGTTTCCTAGCAAACTTGTACACCTCATCCTCCCAAAGTTTCTTATCATCACCCAAGACTTTGACGCACACCCTATAAGAATTAAAAAAGAATTGAACTCAGTGGAGTAAGTTTGGAGACATGTAATAAAGTCCCAAGTTCTTTATTCTGTGGAGAAAAGCCTATGGTTGGACAAGCTAATGAACAGTTTTTTTCAATGGTGCTGTTTATGATGCTGTACAAGGTAGTTCTAACTTTTGAGTCTGTGGACAAAGGAACTCATAAAGAGGGACCATTCGAATGAAAGCTACTGAGCAGTACTTTTCTGTGATAAATACTATATTATGTTGTAAAAAATGATTAAAAACCACTTGTCAATAAAACCTCTTCAACGGTACGTTTACATGGTACTATTTGTGTTACAGTATTTTACAAAATAAATCTGTTATTCTTTCTTGAATTTTGATTTAAGACGTTCTTCGAAGCGACAGACGGTTATCAAAAATAATCTCTTCTCCATCTCTCCCTGAGAGCACAAAACATGAATTCATTTTAGTGAAACTTAATGCATAAAAACAAATAAATAGACGTGAGGAAATACAAACCTCGCAGCAGTTTCATACTTTCCTTCTTCCATCAGAGATTTTAGATATGACCTTCCAATGTCCTAAAAAAGCAGCCACAGTGTTACAAACTACAGGAGCATTTGTTTTGATAATAGGGTGTTTAAGAAACCACCAAGGCGACGATGGCGTAAACGTGACTTAAAAAGTGAGTTCGCTTTCTTTGAAACTTCAGCGCGGTCATCCCAACTCGCTTACTTAGTCTAATACAGGTGAACTTTCCTAGAGTTGAATTCTTAAGAAAGATATCCAAATTTAAAAAGAGAAAGAGAAATTCGTCGTCGTATGTTCACGTTGTCAATAAAACGTGGAATTTGGCAATTCACGTCCTAGTTATGCTAAAGAAATGTGCCAAAAAAAAGTGTGCTGCACGTGCAAAGTAGTTGTTTTGCTAATCAAAACCTATAGACCTTTTCGGCTAACTCAGCGTTGTACCCAATTCAAATCTCCTGGGGTTAAGATTCTTTGTGTATTGTATTTGCATTATAATGTGGAATTCACATTTAAATGATATGGAAATTTCTGAAACAAAAACGTTTTATTCTCAAAGGGTTTGAATTGGATAAAACATTGAGTTTATTAATAGCCGAACAGGTCTATTAATTTTTTGGACGTTCTCATTGCCGTCGCCGTAGTGAAACCTTAAACTCCCAGAAATCTTGACCTAGAACTATCTGTTTCTAAATAACATCATTTTTTTTAAAGGCAAAATAGATTACACTGTGCCAAAGTTTTTGTACCTTTTAACTAACCTGCTGATTATGTTTCTTGACTTCCTTGCTGTTTGTCTCTGCTGCAACCAAGGCTTCCTACACAACAAACAGATATCACTGATTAAATGAAAAAGCTTTCCATTATCAATTTAAATAGAATGATAACAAACCCACTAAAAGGACACACTTCTCTTGAAGTCTACTCACAGTATGTAAAACCCCTGCACTTCAGCTAGTGCTGTGGGCCACAGGAGCCAAAACTGGAGTGTTCATGTGAGTTTTTGGGTGTTGGGGTGAAAATGCGAGACATGCAAGAAGAGGGAAGAGAGAGATAAAAAGGATAAAACAGTTATTATTTTCTTTCTCCTCCACTTGTGTGTCTTGCACTTTGCACTCATTCCCTAAAAAGCCACCTGAGTGCCCTCAATAATGCCTGTTGCACAGGCAATTCATGATGCACAGAGACAAAGGTTGCTGTCAATATATTTTCCATCTTGCAGCCCATTTATTATTTATACTGCTGCCCATTGCCATGTAGGGCACTTTGACCTAGGTCAAACGTCCAACTTTTCATGAGACAAACCAAACTTTGTGAGTTAAGTTCATGTAAAGTTCGATGTCTGGCTCAGTTAAGTTCATCTGAATGAGTCTGGATCGTCCAACACGTTCTATCCGTCTGCTTCAGCTGGATAGAACGTCTGCAGTTGTATGTTTTGTTTTCCCAAGAGAGGTCCCAGGGGAACCTGACCCTTTGTCTTTTTATAAATTATGCATAGATATGCACGTGAATAAGATGAAATTTGAACGGAAAAGTTCCCTAGAGTATTATCACATGACCTGTATTGGGTAAACAGAACATAGAAGCTAAAGAGGTCTATTAACCATACAGCCTATGCTTACCTCAAACCTGCCATGATCAATCAGCCACTTGAGGTGATCATCAATGTTTCTAGGCTAAAAGAAAACTCCACATACTCAACACACACGCTATAAACACTAAGCATTTTAAATGGCATAAAACCATTGTTTCATGTAATTTACAAAGCATCAACTTCCAGACAGTCAGCAGCTGATTCGTTCTTGAGCATACAATATGTAATAAATATAGAAGCTCATTTAGAGTCATGTTTTGCATGCTTGGCAAGTTTCTACAAAGTTCCTTGAGGATTGCCTCCACAGTTTTTCCATCTTTCAAGAGAAGCCAACTTCAAGATAATATTTAGACTTGCCACAAGTTGACCTCACAAGTGTCCTAGTGAGCGGGGCGAGCTTTTTTGTCGACAAAGCGCAAGAGGTCCTGCGCCATTTGAATTTGGACGAAGGACTTTTTTGAAAGTCTAGATAATACTGGGCCATCAACAGGTGACTCCTTCTTTTAGGAGTCATGTTTTGAATTTTTAGCGAGCTTCTACACTGAGGAATTACTAAATTCACCTTGGCCAGCACAAGGTCTTTAGGGCTAACAATGTAGAACAAGTTCTCCTCTGCAACATTTTCTGCAAAAAGCAGTTAGTAAAAAAAAAGCATTAGGTCTACAAATAAATAATTCTGTCATTGCTACCATTTGTAAAAATACGGTAGTAAGTTGAGGTTGTATGGATTTTGGTTTTTTTTACACCCAAGGAGAAAGAACAAAGTCCCATAATTTTGTTTCATTGCATTGTATCACAATATCAGTCAAAATTAATGCTTATTTGGATTCATAACGAGGACTTTAGGGACAAAAACAAGTTTTGAGAGTAAAGCAACCCTTCCACTTAAACTTTTAAAATGTTTAGAGCATCATACTTATATTAGCGTACCTAAACGTTAAAAGGGCTATTCTCCTAACCAACCGTTTTTTCGTCTCGTCACTGAACGTTCTTCCCTCCTCCGTTGGGAAGGAAACCAGCATGACAAGACAGAGAACAGCTGTGTGGTAAGGAGAGGAACTTTAAATTTTAATGTAAGAGTTTACAGTTTCCATCACAAACTTCTAAAATTAAACTTTGTTTCAAGGTCAATTTTATTTATTGTTGATTGTTAGCTATTTACCTACCCTTATTAAAGGCAGAGGATGGACAATCCAGGTCATCATGAAGAAAAGCTGATATTATAAGAGTTTATTTTACTTTATGTGAACGAGTCAGGAGATTTAGCTCGGGTTAGCACTTCTTTTTAATAACAAGTAGTTAAGGAGAAAGGACAAATAGCCAAGGAACTGACTTTTTCTTGTGTTGTCATAGCCTGGGACCAGGCTCCGTAGTGGAGAAAAAGGCAAAAACGGGGTGACACAGCCAAAAAAAAAAAAAACAAAAAACAAAAAAAAACAACAAAAAAATTTGGCACGCTAAGCAAGCAAAGTGGTGGACTGGATTCTTTGTACCTTTTTCCTCTTTTGCAGAGCCTGGTCCCAGGTTAGCATTGTCATTGTACTGGTATGAATTGCATGTTGTGCTTCTACCAACATCAGCATGGCACATAAAATGCTAATAGCCGCGCAAAATCCCTGCCCCCTGACCAACCTAACTAACTGCAGGACCCCATTGATAATAGTACTTGGTGCTGAAGGGCTATCCTGGATAAATATTCGACTATTATTATTATCATCATTATTATTATTATTACTATTATTAATATTAACTAATTCAAAACTGTCACCTGCATAAGCAATGTGTTGGATCGCAAGTCAAGTTTTTTAAGGCAGGTTATAAGGCACATTATTTTTTCAATGGAATTTTGCTTGAAAGCTCTGAGTCTGTTGTAATTCAAGTGGCATCTTATAGCTGAGTATCTACAGGCCACAGAAATTTGAATGTATAAAGTAGTTAAGGTTATAATTTAGAAAATAAAGGAAGTGGAGATGTGACACACTTGATTTTTAATTCATTTGTCTCTTTATAGGGTACCTGGAATACACGTAAAGTCACATTTACTGTCTACCGATGGTTTGATTCTCAGTGAAAGGTTTAGAGCCCACGAAACCAGCCACTAGACAGAGTGGTGCCCCCATCGCAGGTAAACCCGCGCCTTCCAGCCATGAACCCCCACGCCAATGGAACCAGGCACCTGTCACACTGATTTATCCGTGGAAAAATTTAAGGAGGGGGAATGGGGGTAAAAGAATGATCCAAAGGCTAAACGAAGAGAGCGGCCGCCAGGAAACGCTGTACTAAGCAGATGGAAATGATGCAAGCAAGGCTGACTGTGCTTGAGCCACCGCACTGACCACCGACTGATGCCTGCATTCCTAGTTGTTAACTGTGTTTAATTTCATTTAACTACATTAAGTTGGTGGATTATGATTGTCCAGCTGTATTAAGCAATAACCAGAGTTTAATACCATCAACTGACAAGATACAACTCACTTTGACTCTGAATGACTACCGCAAGGGTAGTTGAAATGTCAGTCAATGTCGGCAACAATCCTATTCAGGACTACGTTCACCTGGACGATCATACGCCCCCTACAATACTTTACGTTAAATTTTCCTTCAAATTCCTTGTGTTATGGTTATGAATCATAGGGAGACATTTTTAGATCAAAATCCACTTAAAGTTTAACAGCACATAACTTTTCATTTGCTTAAGTTGATCACCTAACTGAGGGTTTTATTTATGATGAATTGGTTCATCAATCAAACAGTCTACATGTACTTAGTGTTTTTAAACAGCCTGATCAAATGTGAGTGGGAGTTCTGTATGGTGTTTACAATAGTGAGCCGAAGGCAAGCGACTATAAACACCATCAAGAATTCAGAGGTAGAAATTTACATCTCACTTGTATGGGATTTATAATGGCTTTAGTGGCACATTTAATGTCAAATAAAACAATGAGTAGAGATCTGTATCAGAAGTGAATGAATGCTAATATTATTAGCCTAGCAGAAGTTAGTTATCAGAAATTAATTTTATATGTCATTGAATCACTACAGATGATTGAATTGGGGTTTACAGAGGTGTACATGTGAGTCAAATACATGTGTACTACCCCAGATTGGTGCTAACTTTAAAGAATAAGCAGCGCTAAAAGAATAACTTGAACTCCGTGCAGCTTGTCCTTTGGGCACGCAGCTCTAACATTTTACTTGCCCAGGGCCACTTCTTACTCATCTCGGTTGATGATTTTATAAGAGGATGATTTGCTTGGAACCTTTCTCATTGAGCAAGTCAAGCCTGGTTCAGATGCTGTACTTTTCACATACTGAACCCAAATAATTAAGTTCGAGTTTGGAGCAGCACTGACGCAACATCTGATTTAGAAGGCGCACCGTGTTTTGAGCCCACGTGAAGTCCAACAGACTCTGTCAAACTTAATGCTTTTGCCGCACAAAACTAAAACTGCTGTACCAAATTAATTCAGACACTGCACTTCTGCCATACTTAATTCATCAGTTAGGTTTAGCACATGAGCGGCATCTGAACTGGGCCTAAGCTTTACAGCAAGGAGCCCTAAAGTGTGACCGCTTTTGATTTGGTCAAATTCTTTCGTACAGATTTAATCCAATCAGAGCCCAGCTGGAAACTGTCCTCAACTTCTGACTGGTTAACGTCTGCATGAAAGAATGCGAGTTAATTACAGGAGGTCACACTTTTCGGCTCCTTGCTGTAAGCACGAAAAACTACTCATCCTGGACTTAACTGGATGGGACTTTTTTGAGCCCTGATAATAAGAAAATTTTACCACTTGTACTTTTAATGAAAAAACACAAGTCTTACCCAAATGATAGTCATCACAGCGGTACTGTTCAAATCCTCTGACTGACAAGGCATCTGCTGATATTTCCTCAGGCTCGTTAAGGCCACGAGGTGTCACGATCCTTAGCTGTGGTCGGTGAGCTACTACATGACCTTTCTGTTACATCATACATTATATTAAGATGGAAAAACAAAAACGATGAGAATAATACTGATAGCACCAGTCTGCTGAGCGAGAGGCTGTTGGTTCAAAACCTGGCCGGACCAACAGTTAGGGTCTTTAATATAGGACATTAACCCATTCGCTCCTAGAGATTTTGCCGAAAAACGCGTTTTGAAGCTAGTCGAGTGGTTTTCTGGTCACTGTCGCGCTATAAAGAGCTAAAACTTACCACAAACTGGTTTACAGGTCGAACACTTCGCGGTCTTCCGATCCAGATGCAAAATATCAGCTTGCGAAGTTCGGGCATGCGCAGAAAGCAAAATTTCGACATAGTTTTTGGGTTTAAAAGTGACACAGCAGTCTTGACTTTTACTTTTCGCTTTCTCTCCTCCCTTCTTTTTTTGCTTTTCTTGCCTCATTTTTTTTTTCTCTTGCTGGGCATTTAGTAGGCTTGATTTTGGTGGGAAGAGTTTTTAGGAAAGCTTTTAGGATCTTAGGATTAGGCGAAAGGAAAGGTAGGTGGGTAATGGGACAAGATTTTCATGGAGATTTTCAGGTCAATGTCACGTGGTTTTTTGCTTGTTTCTCCGGTGTCCTTGACTGAATTGTGCTCATTCTGGTATGGTTTGAAAGATCTCTTCACTCTGCACAAGTTAGTGAAGAAAGTTGTCCTTGACCGTTAAAACTGATGACGTCACAATGGGTAGAAAGGACCTGGATCCGCACGGGCGGTTACGGGCGGTTCAGGGGCGAATGGGTTAAAGAACACACTGTTCATAAAGAGAAGGGGATGTAGTCTCCTGTGTGTCGGTGTATCTTTCATGGGGGGGAGGGACTGTTATGGGCCTGCGTAGTGGCACCACGGGCTTTTGCGGTACCCTTTGTACAGACCAATTTTTCCTAAGGGGAGGGGAGGGGGTTTGTACGCAGGCTATGTTGTGGTGAACCTAACTAAATATTAATTTTAAAATAAATACTTTGGGGTCACCATTTCTAACTTCTTTCCCACTGTTTTTGCAAACGAAGGTCTTTTTTGTGTCACGAAGCTTTGAAAATAAATCCAGACACTACTGATTATCACAAAGCAGGGATTAAATATTCAAAAGGTCATTAATAATTCATAACGAAAAACAAAAGAACTTAATGTTTAATGAGTGTCTTTGTATCTGATAAAGACAAGGCTAAACTTTATGTCGAATTTCTTAGCCCAAAATAACCCAAATCTAAATATTAGTGCAAGAATGAGTTGATCTATATGAGAGCTTTTGAAGCCATTCAAAGCCATTTGATTTTGAAGCCATTATCAGGTTTAAAAACTCAAGGCGAAGCCGAGTTTTTAAACCTGATAATACACTCCTGCTTGTTTTTTAAACAGTACATAAAAAACCACTACAAATCCATCCAAATATTCTGACTACAAATTTAGTGAGAAATATCAAGGGCTATGTATTTATGAATATTTTATTTTGTTTTTTTTTTAATGAGAAACATAGCCTGCAAATATAACCCTCTTTCCTCGCTCCTCGCTGCCAGGGATGTTTAAAAGGGAAAATTCTGCATTTTGGGACCAAATGTCCATACTGATCATGTAAATCAAAGTTTACATAACTTATTCCATAGTCATGAGGTTCCAGCTGTAAGTTTGTTTGAGATCATTTCTTGAGGTCTATAATCATAAAACTTTGAGTTCTTCTGTGAACTAGTGCCGACAAACTCAAATGCTTCTTGTAAAGAAGAATATATTCCAAGAACAATAAGAGTTTTGTGAAAGATTCATTGCATTTATATTTGAACTTGGTGACCTTTTGTCTCTGTCTATTATTAACAAACAATGGAAAAAGGAATAAATTAAGAACATCAACCATTCAGAGCTCCTGACTAGATTCTGGACAGGTTTGTCATCAGTTAGGAATTTTTGGGCAAGAAATGCAGTTACATTGTCTTTCCCAAAAAATCCCTGGGTGCAGGAAGCGAGAAGAAACAGCTGTACTTGCAGGCTACATTAAAACCCAGAGACAAGAGATTAGCATAACTATAAATCATGAGTTTCTTCTCCATTTAGCTGAACAGAATATTAACACCAACAGCTATAACAACTTAGGAAAATATTAACTTTTTCCTAAGCCATTGCAGCTGCTAATGAAAATACATGTCTGTCAAATCAATGCATCAACTGCTTTCATGCTACAGTGCTAAAATGAGGGTGGCAGGTAGCAAGTGGAGGGCTTTTTTTCAATGCTTACATAAATATGTCTATGTTATAAGTCAAAATTAAATTCAGGTTAAAAATTTTCAACATCATTGGCTCTCAACTTCCTTTGTCTCTGCTGCAGGTCAAAACGAAATTTAGGTTAAAATGGTTTCAACCTCAAAATGTAGGTTGACTCTCTATCATCTTTGTTCCAGCCCTAATTGTTCATAATGTAAGAATTCATAGGTTGATACTGGGATGTTAAGAATATTTCGTTCACTTTTTTTTTACTTTGTAAACTAGTCAGGCGCACCCTAAGGTTGTTGGGGCCTGGGAGCTAGGATTATGGATATTATAGGATGTCGTTTTCAAGAAATGATCGATCAGCAAAAAAGCACATGGCAAGAGTTAGTAATCTATACCGAGGGAGAGTTAGCAGCATTAAAACAGTTCTGTTCTTTATCGTGAGCGTGAGTTTATTGTCTGGAGAAACAGTTCCGACAATAATCTAGCCTGCGTAGCTGGCAGTATTGTGTAGTAGTCGAGTGACATTTGGCGGCGGAGCCGTTGTAATATAGTTGAGTGAGATTTGACGGCAGAGCCGTCACGAGTGGCGAAGCCGCGAGAAATACCGCCTGCCAGAGAACCATGATTTTTCTAAATGCCGCCCACTTTTGTCACCTTAGCTGATCGCAATTAGATCAGCCAGTCAAAGAGAAACCTGCAATTTGAAACTTCCGATTATTTTCGGGCGAGACAGTTAAGAAATAAGCGTTGACAGGCTAAACACGACTCCTAAGCTCGTGATAATGTGAAACGTGACCTTGTGAGTTTGCTTAAACAGAGGTTTTTTTATTTTCTCGGCTCCCGCGCGAAGGTTACTAGCACTACACAGTGCATGTATCATTCTAAACTTTGACTGAGTAAATCTTTTTTTGCAACACCAGGCTTAACATTAAAAGGTCATGAAGCTGGTTTGTTACATGCATACTGAGTAACNCAGTGCATGTATCATTCTAAACTTTGACTGAGTAAATCTTTTTTTGCAACACCAGGCTTAACATTAAAAGGTCATGAAGCTGGTTTGTTACATGCATACTGAGTAACCATTTCCGGTGGTTTATTCTTCTGTAGGTGTTCCTGATAGGATTTGATCTCAGATGCAGTTGTATAGTGTTTTAATTTTTACCTTTGTTTCTTACCTCTAAATAAAGACAATTCCAGCACTGTGAAGTTTAAAGATGCCATTTCGGCAATTTGGTCGTCAATTTTGCTCCTTTTAAAGTGGAAATCACAATCACAATCACTTTACATGTACGTCTTCTTCAGTTTGCCATCTGCTCCCTAAATTGGGACATATATGCGAAGGCTCATCTAACATGATTGACATATGTATGGCCCTCAACCAATCCGTTTCCCCGCACACTGGTGTGCGGACTATTCAAAATACCGGGGTTTTCTGGCAGGCGGTATTTCAACCGCCTCATCCCTACTCCCTTTTTTGGAACACGGCTCCGCCACCAAAATACGCACCCACACCCACCCACACAATACTGCCAGCTACGCAGGCTAACAATAATCAAGAATAATTAGTGCTAAGAGACAAAGAAAATTTAAGCAGGCTAAGGTTGAAACCATTTTAACCTGCATTTCATTTTGACCTACAATAGCTCCTGGCCTTCATTATTCATGAATAAGGGCCAGAAGACAAAGGTAATTGGCAAAATCAACCTAGGTTAAAAAAATTGAACCTGAATTTGATTTTGACCTACAATTATAATAATGATAAAAAATACTTTAAATTGAAAATGTATTATTTTTATTTTTTTACAAAATTAATGAGTAAAATAGGCCTTTTTCAAAGAGACGATAATACTCTTTGTTGTCCCTTTAAAATTTTGCATAAGCTTTGTTTTAAATATTTTCTCTTGGGGCAATAAAGAGAAAATGAAAAAAAAAATGTTTATGCAAAATTTCGGAGGGACAACAAAGAGTATTATGCTATTTTTTGAAAAAGGCCTACAGTGGCGTTTTAAGGTATTAACAAAAATAACATTACTGACTCGGGGCAAAGAATTTGGCAGAATTAACACAATATTTTGACATTATCTCAATGTCTTCCCAGTCATGTGATCTAGAATAATAGTCACATCATCATCAATCATCTGAACATACTAAAACCTGCATATATTGTATTATTATTTAACATGTTATCAGAGCAGGAAAATAATATTTTCAGTAAGCAATTTACAGGTTACTGCAACTACTCCAGCAACAGGCCCTTATAGGCACAAAAGACATTTGAATGACTCAATAAATGAAACTTGCTTATGAAGTAAAGGAACTATACTAAACTTCTTTTGTGTTTTATTCAGAGGAAAAATGACAAAGTTTCAGTCTTAACCCATTTGCCCCTGATCCACTCGTAACCGCCTGAACAGATCCACCTCCCTTCTACCACTTGTAAAGTCATGAGTTTAAATGGTCAAGGACAACTTTGTCCCCTAACTTCTGCACAGTGAAGAAATCTTTCAAACCATAACAGAATGAGCAAAATTCACTCAAGGACACTGGATAAAAAGGCAACCATCATGTAACATTAACCCGAAAATTTCCATGAAAATCTTGTTCCACTATCCACCTACCATTCCTTTCATCAGTTCTAAGACCCTAAAAGCTTTCCTAAAAGCATTTCCCACCAAAATGAAATCTACTAAATGCCCAGTAAAAGAAAAAAAAAAAGAGGCAAAAAAAGTGAAAAAAGAAGGGAGGAGAGAGAGCGAAACTGCTGTCACTTTTAACCACCCAAAAAATTTGCAACATTTTACTTTCTGCCCATGCCCAAACTTCACAAGCTAATATTTTGCATCTGGATCAGAAGGCCGCAAAGTGTATGACCTGTAAATGGCTTTATGGTAAGTTTTAGCTCTTTATAGCACGGCAGTGACAAGAAAACCGCTCGACTAGCTTCAAACGTGTTTTTCAGCAAAATTTCCAGGGGCGAATGGTTTAACAATTTACGTTTATTCACCTTACTTGTGCCAGCTTCAATGTTCGTCATGTAAGACAGTATGACCTGTGAAAACATACACAAAATAATTCAAATTTTAATGATCCTAGTCTTGGTTTTCCTGTGGGTTTTACAGGCAGGACAAGTTATGTGGGGACCCTCTCTCGTTTTTTTCAGGAATGTTATTCAGCCAGGGAACTGGTAACCAGATTATTCTCGGTTGCCAACTCTTGGTTGAATGGACCTAATCAGGGAATTCAGTATGTCTACCTACAGTCAAACCTCTAGACAATGGCAATGACAATGGGGTGTAATATGAAAAATCATTTTTAGGAGGTAAAACACATTTATTGTACTATTTTTCTGCTAACTGTATCCCATGATGGTAATTCAATAATTACACAGAGATAAAATTAACAAAAAACATGAATAATGTTTTGAATCAAAATGTTAACGTGACAAAACAAGCAAGGTTAGTCAATATTTGCTAACAGTAACACAATCAAAATACAATATTGCATGACGTGATTAATCATCAGCGAGCGATACAGATCAAATTTTATGACCATTCTTGACTTTTTCATCAGTGGCTGATGAAAAAGCTGGCTGTTGTTGATAAGTTATTTTGACAGTTGGAGACACGCTTTCATGGCCATTGCTGTTGTAGACAGGTGGCCATTGTAGAGAGGTTTAAACAAGAGCCTATGTATGGACTGTCTGCCAGGACAAAAAAAGTGACCAATGTAGAGAGGTGGCTGTTGTCGAGAGGTGGCAGTTAGTGAAGGTTTGACTGTAATTTTACTTAGAGCAATGCAGGCATTATCAAGCTCCATCGGTACAAAATCTGAGCTTCCAGAGTTTAACTACGGCTAATTTCGAAAGAATATCAATAATTCCAACAGGCTTACCAAGTCACTCTTAAGGTATGCAATTCCAGAAATGTAATAATCTGTCTTAAACCTAGCAACTGCAAAAATAAACATTCAGACATGAGATTGAGTTGGCTCATCTTTTAAATCTGCAAATTAAGATAAAAAGAAAAACAAAAATAGCAAACCTATTTCCACAACAAGGGGAGGCAGATCTGATCGCTGTATCAACCTCTCCTTGACAACACAAATCTGAAGAAGAAAAATACAGTGTAAAAGAGAAAACAAATAAAATTTTCCAGAGAAAATAAGATATCTTGCAAACTTTGTTTTCATGGCCTGTACTGCAAGTTACATGTACAGTCTGAGGTGAGGAATTTAATGACTGAAAAGGAGTATGGAATTTTAGCGGTTTCGGAATCTTGGCTCAATTCCTCTGTTACGAACGCTGAAGTAGAGATTGAGGGATATACATTGATTAGGCTTGACCGCCTTAAACATCGCGCCGGTGGTGTCTATGTTTATGTACGGAGATCACTCAAAAGCAAAGTCCTCAAAGATCTTTCTCGAATTTCAGATTCTGGCTTTCATCAGTTATGGGTACAAGTTCAGCAAAAGAAATTGAAATCATTCTTGTTGTGTGTCACCTATAGAACTCCTGACTGTCCGCTGTCATGTTTTGTTGAAGATTTTATGGATCAGTATTTGCAAGCTCTTACCTATGGAAAGTCCGTTTTGGTTGTTGGAGATCTCAACTGTGACCTGCTCACGAGTTCTTATGAATCGAGAGCGCTGAATGACTTTTGTAGCAGCTTAAATATGAAACAACTTATCACAGAGCCTACAAGGGTGACTCCAACATCCGAGTCTTTGATTGATGTCATCATGACTTCCAATTCAGCCTTAGTTACCGATAGTGGTGTGGTTGAAACACACATTAGCGATCATTATCTGGTTTATGCGGTACTGAATTTCAAGGCGCCGAAACCACTGCCTACTTATGTTATATCTAGAAGTTATAAGAATTACAACTCTGAGAGCTTTGTGAATGATCTTGCCCAAGTCCCATGGTATGAAAATGCTTTGATTGATGATGCTAGTGAAAAAGTAGAACATTTTAATGAGAAATTTTTGGCAGTCCTGGAGCGTCATGCGCCTGTCAGGAAAAGGAAAGTCAGAAATCGGCAATGTCCATTTCTAGATCAAGAGATCAAGGAGCTGATGGATGAGAGAGACCAAGTACACAGAGTTGCTCGTGTGTCGGGCGCTGTTACGGACTGGGAGCATTACCGTTGGTGTCGTAATGAGGTTAAGAGAAGGCTATATGATGCTGAGAGGATCCATGTTCAAAAGGAGATGAATGGCAATCAGAGTAGTAGTGCCATGTGGAAGGTAATACGGAACTGTATCCCGTCAAAAGAGAAATCGAAACCGGTGTACTCAAGGGATATGACGGAACTGGCGAACGAGTTCAATGAGTTCTTTACTTCTGTGGGGGCAAGGGCTGCAGCTGAATCTAAGAGGCTTGCTTCAGTTAACGTTCTTCCAGCGTATAAGCCCCCCTCATCCAAGAACTTTTTCCAACTAGATGAATTCCGATTCCGCGCAGTCACTACCTTTGAGGTACACCAGATCATCTTGTCTTTTCCTTTAAACAGGGCACCAGGAATGGATAAGTTACACATGAGTGTGATCAAGGATGCCCTACCAGTTATACTTCCAGTTCTGACAGAGCTTATAAATAGATCGCTTTTAACATCAGTTTTTCCATCTGCTTGGAAAGAGTCCGTGGTGATACCGATATTAAAGGAAGGAGATCATGAGGTTGCTAATAACAACCGGCCAGTATCACTGCTACCCGCTCTGTCTAAGATCTGCGAACGAGCAGCTCTTAATCAGTTAACGGAGTACACAACACGTCAGAACTGTTTAACTGAACATCAAAATGGAAACAAGAAGAAGCACTCGACAGAAACACTCCATATTTTCATGTCCGATATGATTCTCGAAGCAATGGATCGAAAACAAGTCACAGCGTTGGTTCTGTTGGACTTGTCAAAGGCCTTTGACAGTATCGAGCATGGGATCCTATTACGTAAACTTCGAGAACTGGGTGTGTCTATACAGGCCATGGAATGGTTTAGAAGCTATCTGACGGACAGGAATCAGCGGGTGAGGATTGGTTGTGAGGTGTCAGATCCTCGCCAGGTAGCTTATGGTGTACCTCAAGGGTCGATCTTGGGACCAGCCCTTTTTAATATATACATCAACGATCTTCCAGCTGTCCCTAACCTGTGCTCACTAAAGAGTTACGTGGATGATTCCCAGCTCTATCTCTCGTTTCCTGTCCAGGAGACAGCCATGGCTGTGGAACATTTATCCGAAGATTTGCAACGGATTGCCGCCTGGTGTTGCACACACAGCTTGCTGATAAATCCAGATAAGACTAAGTTATTGCTTCTTGGAACCCCGCAGATGTTAGCTCGTGTGCCGGAGGGTTTTGGAGTTACGCTACTCGGTAAGGAGATTCTACCGTCTCGTTCTGCAAAAGATTTGGGGGTCATCGTGGACTCGCGCCTTAGTTTTGACGAACATGTGACCGATGTTGTATCTAAGTGTACAGGTAGCCTGTGCCAAATCAATCGTGTGAAACATTTGTTTGATAGGTCTACGCTCATAACCATCATAAATTCATTAGTGTTCAGCAAGATTTTCTATTGTTCCTCCATGTGGTCTAGTACAACAAAAAAGAACATTGCTAGGCTTCAAAAAGTTCAGAATTTTGCGGCACGGATTGTGACTGGCACAAGAAAGTATGAGCACATCACGCCGATGTTAAAGGAACTCCACTGGTTGCCGGTTGCTAAGCAACTGGAGGTTAGAGACATTTTAATGGCTTTCAAATGTATAAAGGGATTAGCCCCACCATCCTTGTGTAATAAGTTTTCGACAAGAAGGCAGATGCATACTAGAAATACTAGGAATAAAGATAAACTTCATGTACCATCTTTTAGATCAGCAACAGGTCAGCGATCTTTCTCATATAGGGCTGCTCAGCTCTGGAATGACCTTCCAGAAAGTTTAGCAAACATAGAGTCATTTAATGTTTTTAAGAATGCGATTAAAGGACGTGCCCTTGACGAGTTTTTAAGCCATTGACACTCAATAGGTGTAATTATGCATATTTTATATTTTTTAAATAGTATGGTAATGTTTTTTCACTTTCAAATGTTTATATTGAATTTCTATTGTTCATATTAGATTTTATTGTAATTGGTATGTGAAAACCCATTTTAATTGGATGTACCAATAAAGTTGATTTGATTTGATTTAATTTCATTTCTTTCTTCGGATTTATAACCTGCGTAATTCAGGCTTAGATTGTATACTCAACAGAAAGTATCTTGATTCAGATATTTGAGTTTGCAGCTCAGACTTATAAAGTAAGAGTTATACCTATGCTGTTTTGCATGTTATGATATTTTGGGTGGTTGTCAAAACACTGACCCCCAGACCAAGGACTACCCCATGGACTATTCATATGGACTACCCTAAAATGGACTATACCGCTGTAGTTCAGTGGTTAGGGTCAGGAAACTGAGTGAACCAGGTTCTATTTAGGGTTATTATACCGGGAAAACTGACCTGAAACTTGATTCACTCTGTTTCTTAACCCTAAACTCTAAACTTCAGTGGGTGATGTCCACTTTAGGGTAGTCCATATGGGTAGTCCATATGGGTAGTTCATGGGGGCAGTCCATGGACTGGTGGTCAGTGTTTTGTCCACCACCGATACTTTGGTACATAGTTCATTACTACTGACCAAATTGCCAGAATGTTATGTCAAAAACTATCCTCCATACCTGAACCATGTCTGCCCAGCCAATAAGAAGGGTGATGTCATCTTTCCAACACAAACAGCAGCGATAAAGTTCAGGTCTATATCTGCCAAAAAAAAAAATTATATTTACAGACAAACTCTTAATTGCGGCTTTCTCTCATAAGCGACACCTTTGTGAACAAAAAAACAAGGTTTTCTCATTCAAAGAACAATAGTTGGGACCTCTTATATACCACTACTACTCGAAAAGGATCATACGTTTCCGGGAAACTGCCCACCTACCCCTCCCCTAGGCCAACATTAACACTTACTTCTCACTTAGGGCTAAATGTTGGCTTAGGGGAGGGGTAGGTGGGCAGTTTCCCAGAAACTTATTATGATCCCTCAAAACCAACCAAAACCACTTTGTGGAATAAAAAATTTCATAATTCTATATTGGTTTGAACCTCTACCTATAAATCACCACTCAAGACACATGGTCAAGAGGAAAATAAAACAAACACTTTTTGAGATCCTAGCTTCAGAAGACTGTGATATTGATCTCCTAGAAATCGTTCAAAAAGTTAAGTTGAATTTATTTTCCTCTTAGTTAGTATGTATTCATTAATATCGTTTAGTGTATCAGTAGTCTCTTGTCATAACTGTTGTCATTTGTTATTAGTAATACCGTTAGTTTATCAGTAGTCTCTAGTCATTGTTGTCAATTTTAGTTTCTTTAGTTCTCTTGTTACTTTTAGTTGTATTCAGTTGTATGTATTTCCTATAAATATGACCAGCCTAGATTAGCTTAGCTACCCGTAGGCATGTTATAATAATAGTATTTTTACCTCAAAATACAATAAAATAATGTATGTATGTAATGGTCAGAACTCTATGTTCACTGTATCTACTAGATTCCTCGGAGAATACAAAGAACAAGGAACTGTAGTAAAGTCTCAGTAACTCAAACTCGGATAACTCTTACTCCCGCTAACTTAGACTTGGGTACCATTTCCCTCGGATTTAACTCAAACTGAATTTTGTCCCCTTGATCAATTTTTAAAATACTCCAATAACTTGAATTCCTTTTTCGTGCAACTCACCACCTATGCCATCCCATTAGGTCTTTACGTATAATCCGTAAAAACACTAAAAACTAACACAAGCAACTTGATTTTGAAATAGAGCGATAAACAGATTATGTATTTGACAGTCATTTGTAAGTCATAACGAACATATTTTACACGTTCTGACAAGATAGGTTTATTTTGGCAAATTTGCACTGTATTGTTTACTGAGGTGCTAAAAATTCAGTACACCATCTGTTGTTCAAATGGCAAAATGACCATCCAATTGACCCCAAAAATCTCAAACCCCCACTAACTCGAACTGTTTTTCATTTGCCTTCAGAGTTCAAGTTTATACTGGGGTCTTATTGTATTATTTAGACATATTTAAGCTTAAAAATTGCATGCTTTGCGATAAATTCTTCACCAAGAAAGTTGTCTGATGAGCAAAATTTAAGTAACTGGAACATATACTGCAATAAGGCTATGCAAAGTCTACCAACCCAAGTACTAACCACAACCTTTAGGTTCGTGGAAGAAATTTTATCAGCAAAGTTAATTAAAGTCACATACTTTCCAGGTTCTCTTTTAATGTTGGTTATCACTCGCTGAGAGTTCAAGTCAAACACCTTGACTTCCTGAGTTGAACAAACAAACAAATCAACAAAATTTCAACAAAAAAAGCTCAATAAAAAAGCTGCATTACTGGTCATAATTTTTGAAAGCTTGCAGATTTTTGTGCCTCTTCTCCTTTAATGTGATGACATTTAAGCAGCATTCAAAAACTCATTATCAACTCATACAGAAAAACAAAAGAAATTAATGTTTAAAAAGTGTCTTTATATCTAAGACACAGCTAAACTTTTAGTCCAATTTTTTAGACCAAAATAACCCCCTTGGGGAGAGGGGTCAGTAGTACTAACACTAATATACATGAAGAAAGAAAGAAAGAAAGAAAGAAAGAAAGAAAGAAAGAAAGAAAGAAAGAAAGAAAGAAAGAAAGAAAGAAAGAAAGAAAGAAAGAAAGAAAGAAAATGAATACTGAATTTCCCTCAATACACCCAAAACTGGAAACAAAGTGTAAGGGGTATCCTGCACGTTCAAAACCAATAGTTATATCATTTAAAAGATACCAGAGATTCAGTATATCCCTTGGATAACCCTGGTTGACATGTTGTGGTACATGTAGTGGAACTACGATTTGTGAAGAAGCGCTGGAAATCCTGACTGTGTGAGATTCGTATATGTACATTTGGGATGTAAGTTTGCAGGATTTTAAAGGGCACTTCTACCCTTTCCTACCCTTGTAGAATATTTCATTGCAAAATAACTGCTTCATCTTACCGAATTATTAGCCCATGCAATGAGGGATGATCTCCATTTAATTGTCCTTATGCTGCCCTCTCCTTCATGCAATACTGTGGCCTTATTTCTGAACCAGCCTCTTTCTGTGAGAATTAACTACAATGCAACAATATATCAGAGTAGAGACTTTGAATTTTTTATATTAAGGATTTTTTTATCATTAGGTGAGAACAAGGTCATGCTATTATTTTTCACTGAAACAGAAAATAAACAAGAACAACTACAAACCTTTGTTCCTCCAGTAACATACATTTTTGTTCTTTTCTTTGAAAACTCTGGATCTAAAGCAACTGACTGAGAAAACAAGTAAAAGTAATAAATTACCAGAAACTCAAAAACAAAAGCAATTTTAACAAAGGTTCTTTAATAAACAAATGGCAATAACATAGGAAAAAAACAACTCTTACCTTGATGGGGGAATCAAAAGTGGCTTGGACATTATTCTCAGAGCTGTAAAGACCATTTATCACAACCTTAATGTGAGAAAAGCAACTGACTTGTTAGATGGATTGTAAAGTGAAAGGTCACACAGCTTTTTATCCTTAAGGCTGGCATGACACTCAGGGTGAGTTAATGGATAAAGAAGGTTTTTAAAGTTATGTGCAACACTTGGTAGAAAACGTAATATTCATGTAATAGTAACTAATGTAAGTTGGTATAATTATGTTACAGGTCAAAATTAAATTCACGTTGGAATTTTTTAACCTAGGTTGATTCTCATTTTTCTTTGTCTCCTAGCCCTAATAATTATTATTTATGAAATAGGCCTGGGAGAGACAAAGGAATTGAGAATCAACGTAGGTTAAAAAATTTTTAACCTGAATTTAATTTTGACCTGTAACACATACACATAAAGCTTTCCCAAATTACAAGCCAATTTGCAATCATAACTACAGTAAATCATTTTTTGGTTCCACAGATTAAATGCACTTATACCTGTGCCTTACAATAACTTGGGTAACCCGTAAAGATGTCCTCAGATTATTGTAAGCAAAGGTAAAAATAAATGAAACCCATTCACAGAGGAAAACTCTCTCTCTTTCTACTCTTGTCCTTCACAACCAATTAACTAAAAAACTACAGAGGGTATTGAAATGAAATACAAATGAAGCATTATTATTTTTGTACATACTGTACTCTGTATGCTTTAGTCAGAGTCCTGTTACATGTAAATCACTACAGTGCTGGAAGTAGGCAGGGGTTTCAATAATAATTGAAGTAACCAGCAGGTTTGAATAGAGTACCCGACCGTATCAACAGGAGGCGTTAATCGAGTACCTCTAGGGGGGTCTGCGGGCATGCTCCATCAGAAAATTTTGAAATTTCAAAGCCCTTAAATGCGATTTCCAGCATTCTGGGGACTAAATTGAGTACAAAAGAGTGCGTTTTTCATTCAAGAAAAGGTAGCTTTCATTCAGGTTCCGATTATCAGCCACACAACTTACAAGCAATGAAAAAACGTACATTTGAACGAGAACAAATTCTGTGTAAACCTCCAAAGAAACGTGAAGAATTGACTGCACGAAACACAGCATTTGCCTAACGAAAGCATAACTCAAAACCAGTTGGCCTTTACGTTTTCATCCAGATTTTAGGATAAGTTACTTGTTTACGACATCATACGCACTAGTGGCTTCTTCTTTTGGAGAGAAAAGTAGCCGACTTCTCTGAGCAAAATCACCAATGTGTTTCGTCAGTCGTCGGTGCCTATTGAAACCCCTGAGTAAGATACCACAAAGAGAGTTCTCTAGGAAACGTAAGTACAAGTAGGTGTTGGCATAGGTATGGGAAGGGTTTACCCCTTGTTCATTGGGGCAGTCACCTAGAAAACTGTTACAATTTGGATGATCTCAGAACTATTAGGAATCTTAGCCATAGGGTGACCCCTTTATTTACCCCCAGCTGCTTTAATTTATATCAAAAGCTTGTTTTTGTTGAAAAAAAAATATGTTGGATTTAATATCCCTTTTAAAGATTATTACTTTCTGTTTAACCACAATTTGTAAGTATTTTTACTACATTGTTGTTATGTATTTTTTAAAATTACTTACCCGTCCATCATCTGAGCAGCTGGCTACATAGTCACCACTTTGATCAATGCTAATTTGATTGATAGCTGTCGTGTGCTAAGGAAAAAACATTTTAAAGTATCTTTAATGAATTTACTTCTTTGAGGGGTCTCACTATCTTGGCTTCTCTTTTCAACAGTTTTGTAAACCTTGTAATGTTGATTTTTTTCCCCACAAAGCCACCTTGGAGCCTAGAAGTCTTAGTTTTTTTGGCAAGGTTGAGGATGTCTTGAAGTCCTTAACTCCCAATTTGATGGTTGCTAGTATCTGTAAAAGAAATTTGATTTCAGGTTAAAATTTTTTAAACAAGGTTCATTCTCAATTTCCTTTGTCTCTTAGGGCTACGAGATAAAGGAAATTGAGAATCAACCTCATTTAAATCAAAATTACCCTGAAATCAAATTTGATCTAAAACACATCTTTGACAGCTTTGCTGCAATGCAATTATTACTTCTTTAGTAAACGAGAAAGAAATCTATTCTGCATTGATCAGCAATTTGACTGCTGATATAAAGGACATGGTAAACTCATTTGGGACCTTACACAATGAGAAAATTGACATCCTGGACATCAAAAAGGCAACCAGAAGTTGATATTTTCTCCCTCTCAGTGCTCTGACTCAACAAATTCATACAGCAGGAGTTAAAACAAAAGCATTCAGATTCATTGTGTGAGACAAAAGTGTTCCATCAAGCAAGACATCAAACTTCCAGTTGCCATTCATGAAGTCTGGGACTTCAGACTCATTGTTTCAGCTCACTATTAACTGTCTGAGAAAAGCTCTGAGTGTCTCAAGTGTGAAGTTTAAGAGCTGTGAAAGTCTTGCGCTTGCATTTAAAAGAACTCTTCAGTCCTGGTTGCAAATTTGACATTTCCCATCCATCAAGGATGAATTTTGTTTCCAAAATTAAAGTTATTTTTTTTTGTCGATTCTGCCTCTAGCAATTACCATGAAAGACAGGCTAAATCCACAAAAATTTCTCTGGATTAAGCACTGATTTTTCTAGGCTGAATTTCATGACAAAATGATTGGCATGGCAGGGCTCGACGTTGCAACCCGTGGGGTCGCCAATGCGACCAGCTTTTACTCAGTGGCGACTAAATTTTCACGCCTGGTTGCCAACCTGGCCCCCAAGATAGGTGACTTTTTTCTTTGGGTAAACGTACACTAATGATAATTTGTTATCCTTTATACAACTAACGGATAGCTAACGGTTTTTCTAACGCTCTAATGTTTTGCCCAAACACTCTAACGGTTTGTCTAAACGTTTTAACGATTTGTCTAAAGGCTTTAACGATTTCTTCCAACAATCTAAGCTACGTTTACTTGAAAGAGGATTGTGAAATGAATTAATTTGACCGAAGACTTATCGACTTTCGTACAAATCGATCGCAATTCTCAACAGATCGTCCCGTGTTTCTCCGGGAATGGCTTTTAGCGCATCGATATTTAAAACAATTTCTTTATGTCGAACATGTATCTCGATTGCAGACTCGATAGCAGATTAGTCTGATAAAAGCTCAAGCTAATCGAAGCTAATCGAGAACGAACGGCGCTTACTTCTCGAGCTTCGCAATTCTTGTAAACAACTTTACCCAAATTTCTGTTGAGCGTGACGATGCAAATAAAAGCTCTGCCTTATTTCATTGACTTCTAATGAAGTAAAGTTGAAGTCATGCTGTTTGTCTAACAGACTTCTCGCGAAATCAACTTCTTTGCCCAAAAACATTAGCAACGTTTCCTCTTTCTGGTCTTACTGGAGACTTTCGATCACGCGGTAGGCAACCGCGCAATAGATGAAGTTTCACCGATGTTCAGTTCTGAACATGCAAATGCATGGGACGCAAAACAAATTTTGCTGATTTTGTTCTTTCATAACCCAAATAAGTTTTTTTGTGATTCCTAAATTTTGCTTTTTTAATGTGTATTCCATTTCCTGAACCTTAATGAATACCTGTTTGAGGAGATTTACGCTTGAGTGCGGATTCATTTTACGATATGCTATTTTTCAATCGAGCGTCAGCGAAAACCATTCGAAAGAAAGTTCAAAGAAAGTCTGAACCATTCATTTTCTGTTAAGGCTAAGTTAAAGATGTTAAGTTTATTTTATCCCATTAGTTCTTAAATATAATTTTTGGCAACTAGAATACTTGTTCTGGCGACCAAAAATGAAAACTTGGGGGCCAGTTGGCCCTAACATTTTTTTCTGAAAGTCGAGCACTGCATGGCCCTTGAATGGATAAAGCAAGGCAGCAATAATGTAATACTAAGCATAAATTTATCACTGACATACTTACTGACGGGTACTTTTTGCTACTGCTTGGGTTCCCTTGGTGATCCAGTATATGAACAACTCCATAGTGAGTTCCTAGAGCAAGAAACTAGAAACAACAAAAGACCTTGACCAATAAGATCACCAATAGCCTTTTTCTTGTCTAAGATGAGTTTTTTATGATAAATTATTGGAGTCGGAATGGTACACTGTGGGGTGAGCGGAGAGGGGAAAGAGGGGGGGTGGGGCAGGGAGGTGACCTTTTTGCAAAAGTACAGACTGTATATGCTTTTCTTAGCACAAATTTATGTATGTTTTTTGGAAAGGGGTTTTCAGAAAACTTTACAATGGGGCAGTTAGAATGTAAACTTTGCCTGTACAAAGTGGGAAAGTATACAGCCATTCCCTGATATGTGATCAGTGAGTTGAGTTGGATTAGCATCCCTTTTAACCTAAGATCAGGCCCAGTTTAAGCGGTTCTCATACATTCTCTCTAACGGCTACCACTAAAATTGGGCCTGATACAAACTCTCTCAAGTTTGTGTTCGTTATGGCCAGATTTTGGCTGTAACGCTGATTGGCTGTTAGAACAATACCACAAGACCTGACTGGCTGTCGGAAATGCCGCAAGTTGAAAGCGCTTATTCATCGCGAGGTTGTTTTCGTGAATGATCTGTTGTCGGCGGAGAGAAGGATCGTTTTTGTGTCTTTTTTATTGTTTTATGGTCTTATGGTAGGAAAATATGCCTTAATATGTGCCACAGAAATTCAGAAAATTCATATGGTTGTTCATATCTTCTCAGGATTTGCTTTATTTACGGAACTAACGTGAGTGTATCGTGGAGTTGAATCCCTCTGCAAGTTGTTGACTGCTAACAAGGTGCCTCTTGATTTACCAACAAACGAGTGCAAATCAAAATACTTTCCATCTTAAAACTGGTTTCATCTGAAACTAGTAGCCGGGAATGACTTCTCAGAATGGGGTACGCAAGCAGAGGCTCACTGCGAAAGAAACCTCAATCGCCAACTGAGAAGTATTAGACGAAAAATATTGCATCGCTGTTCAAGGAATTTTGTAGGCATTATTATAAAAGCAGGTGGCTTAAAGTAACGGACTGGTTGTTTGCCTTCGCTTTTTGTAAAATATAAACGAGGAAAACTTGGGGTCCTCGCTCGTGGGCTGTTTGCTTTTGTTTTTAAAGATTTATGTACCGAAAATCAGGGAAAATTGCTGAGGAAAATGTTAAGGCAACAGAAAAATAGAAATTTCAGTATTTTAAATTCGAGCGCGCCTAGCCAAAATAATAAAACTAGTAGAACATCGTGTTGCCGTCTTTTCGAAAACTTTTTACCCTCTACGCCAACAGAAATAACCTTTGAGATCTCCCTTAATCTCGCAAGAAGTTAAATGTGATTGTGCCGACTGTTTTATTTTAAGCTGAAAACAGATAAAACAGATAAAAGCTATTTTTTAAGTCAGCCAGTCTGCATTTTTCCCACGCATGAAACTTTGCATACTAGAAAAACAAGCAACAGAAGTAATTTTGGTTGGCTGATTCGGCAAATGTCAATCAATCAAAAAAGTGGGCGGCAGACGTTTTGTAGAAGGTTTGTATCAGGCTCTCTTTTCGTTTCGCCTTGCCCGCCGGAATGTAATTTTCAAAGCGACACGAAAATAGAGCCTGATCTCAGGTTACATCCCTTTTGGATCAGGCTGTACCAACACAGATAAAGTAAAACAAAAGAAAATTTCGCTATTTGTTTGGTTGTTTTGCTCGATGTGATCTGTGCTGGTACATGCAGTAAAGCATTCAAAAATACAGTTAGGAGAATAACCTATTTGAACGAGAATAACCTTTTTTAACATCATTTTAAACGTGTCGGAAAGCAGAGTAGCAACTTTCACTTTCGATTCACGAGTGTACCTTTGTATGTACCGCCATACAGCTAGCACACTCCTCCCCGTTGAGAATAGTATTCATGGCATTTCCTATTCTTTCGTATTTCAACTTGGGTTCCACTTCGTCTTCATCGTCCTCTGATCCTTCGTCATCATCACCTTCTTCTTCATCATCGTCCGCGCCGGAGTCGTCTTCGTCTTCGTCTTCATCGACTTCTTCCTGAAATCAGTCAAAAAATACGATTCAAAGGAGACAATTAACCATCATTAATTAAACTTTACATTTACTTGAAACTACTAAGAAGAAGTTAAGTTAAAAAGAGCCTGGAAATCGCGTCTGATTTCACCTTTTTTCGAAGGTCTTTCAGATCACCCTTGTCCCCCATTTTTGACGCTCCTTTGAGTGATCACAAAGGTTCACGGGATATCGAGGTATGCAGCACGTGTGGATATCTTTAGGGGAAGAGTGGGTGAGGGAATATAATTTAAGCAGCTCTACGAATGTAACTCCTCAGTTTTTTAATCAACAAAAAACCTTTTACGTATTTATGAATAGTGATTCCAAAAAAGAACCATTCTGTTAAGTTTTCAAATTATTACCAGGATTTTTGTATTTACAGCGGCGATATGAGCGAGCATGACGCCCCCATACTCAGGGGTTATTAGTGAGGAAACACGTGCTACCATGAAAAAAGTGTCCAAGATGGCGGCCGTGCAGAACCAAAACAGCGCTCTTCCAAATTTAAAGAATTTGACCCGCGAAAACTTCGGTAAGCTGTCCAACCAACAGCACAAGGTAAGCTTTGTACCACTTGGTTATAAACGCAGTATTAGCAGCCTGCAGAATTGGAAAACGTCCACTTCGCTGGATCATCTCGTTGAAGGTTCACAAGCTGCGAAAAGGCTTCAGTGTGATGTATAATTTCTTCTCGGGTTGTTGTCCTTTCTTTTAGGCGCTACAAGACCTCATCAGGCCTCATATAGAATCCTTCAATTTTATGTCAGAAGAAGGTCTTTCGTTGGCGGTTGAGGTACTTCTGTAGCTTTTATTTCATAATTATATAGTTTTATTGATATTTTTTAAGTTGCTTTATGCACAGGCAACCCAGACGTAGTATGTGTCAAGTCAATACAAAAAGAGATAATGGTTAAGATATATTTCGTTTTGAAATATTACATATTTTCAAATTCCTCTTCAGTCGAATATCGTTGACTCTTAGGTTAGCTCCGATTTTTTTTTACCATGTTGACACCCACTACATCTAGGCTAGGTCTAGGCTGCCGGTGCTGTTAGAGTATTAGGATTTTCTCTGCAAGTGTAACGAATGTTAGTAGGACAATGAATATTGAATGACACACTTATGGGCAAGCTAAGACAGTGTGGTTGGCAAGAACGTAATGCTAACCTACTGGTCTCACATAGGTGAGTACAGTCTTGATGGGTGAGTCCAAGGGTGGCTGGGGTGGCTGGTGAAAACACAGGCAGCCCATGTTCGGTATGAAGGTTACCTGTGGTATAATATTGCATTATCTTAAAATATATGTAATCATGGAAGATTTGTATGGAACTCCTTTGCAGAGGTTTGCAGTGAGAAATGCGTTACCTTATATTCATGGTCTGTTCTTGCTTCCTGTCTGGTTATTTCCCTGATCCGACCCACTCAAGCAGTGGTTTTTTTCAATCCTTAGTTTCCTCCTAAAGAGAGAGCTAGGTAAACACAATCTGGACAGCCACCAAACAAAGCCAAAATTTTGAGGTTAAAATCACCCTGCAGCCACAATTTCACCACAGAAACCAACTGTTAAGGCGGGAGTTAGCGAACTTTGTAGTAGCCATGCAGTGGACTTGTCAGCTTTCCATATATTACTTTTTTAAGACCACTGCAATTTTAACCACTTGAAGCATTATAATCTCTTATGGTTGGTGTTTACATCTTGGTTAGTGAATTAATCTTGGTGTCTTCATTATTTAAGGGTATTTTTCCACAAGAATTTCTGCTTGGGAACGGTCAAAAAGTAACTCTGTACTTCACAGTAAGTCCTTTAAAAATAATGTTTTTGTTTTTATTTGCATGTTTTTGGTCAATACTACAGACATAGAGAAGACTGCATGCTGCATGCAAAATCTTATAATATGGGGAAACAGAGACTACAGTATATGTGCATTAAATTTCTTTTAACTGCTGCTGACAAGCCCTGGGCTTAGACATCTTCATAAGGGGTCTTAAGAGAGCTTATAAATGAAGGGGCTTATATCCGAGGGGACTTACAACCGAAAAAGAATAAACATTTCGAAGTAAGCTTAAACAGTGCTGATCAAAACACATTTTTCATTTGCTGGTTTTTATCGTAGAGAGGCTTTATCGGGGGGGGGGGGGGGGGGGGGGGTTTGTAGACTGATATGTCGTGTGGTGCAGGGGTTGGGTTGTACAAGTAAGTGACTTTGTTAGATGATATTGTGATGTGTCATTGATAGGTGGGGTGGGGTGGTTATAGTATAAGTTGGAGGGCTAATATTTTCACAGCTTAGGGTATATCCCTTTAAGCCCCAATATCCACCTAAAAATTCTCCATGTTTTTAACTCCATACATTTTCTTGAAATGCTATTTGCAAGATTTTGTTACTAGATCAATGCGTTTTCCCTTTGGTGATCATTTTCTTAATTCTCATAACCTTTTCTGTTGAATACTGTACTGTTATCGTTAGGAGAAAATTGATGTTGGTCACTCTTGGGACTAAAAGGGATATAGACTAAAAAGTCTTTTTGCTCTCTGTTATATATGTACTTCTTTTGTATAGTAATATACAGCCAAAGCTCTCTGTGAGGCAATTAGTAAACAAGCAAGATGTTGTTTGAACTGTCAACCTGTTGCAATCTCATGGTTAGGTTCTGGGATGAATCTTATTGACAATGATAATATCATTACGTTAGTTTCTGCTGTTTACATGTATGTTTTCACTGCTTATGTTTAGGATGCTTCTATTGGAGTTCCAACATTATCAGAAAACAACCTACATGCCACACAGTACAAGGTCTTTCCTTCTGAGGTATATTTGCACTCATTAGAGCTTGTGTTATAATCTGTCAATTTGGTAAGATGTGTTCTCAAGTTAAAGCAGTATTCATCCTAGTTTGATTCAGGGTTTCTTTTGTTTCATAACTGTTCATAGTGTAACGTTCATTGTTATATAATTTTTGTTACTGGTATCGTAAGTAAATGTAATTCAGGTGTCAGAGGTTAAGTATGCTGCTCACAAGATCATATCATTAGAGTTACCTTTCAACTGCAGCTGCTGCTCTTACAGTTTTTCTTAAGCTACCTACAAACCAACGCAACAACTTTCAACATTGTTGGCCCAACAATGTTGGGAGTTATTGCACCCATTTGCACAAAGCTAAAAGTTTAACCAGTTTCAAACTTTGTGCAACAACTCCCAACAATAAGCAACAACATGCAACAGGATGTGCAAACAGATGCAACATGTCACATCCAACAATGTTGGGAGATGTTGCCCAGTGCTTCCCTATGCTAATCTACGTGTACTGGTGATGGGTTTAACTGTCCCTGTTCTAATTTTGTTTCGTAGTGTCGGGAACGTGGAACAACATACAAAGCCAAACTTCAGGTGACTTTACAATGGAAGCTTGATAACCAGCTGCAAGGAAATGTAACCAAAGCTATAGCAAATATTCCCATCATGGTGCAGGTGAGGGTATATCTTTTCAGTACTTCAATATTTTATACTTGATTTTAAATTTTTATTTTTTGGTGTGTGTGTTTTGGTACGGTATTATGTATGATAAAGAGTTTCAAACAATGGAAAATAAATTAAACCTTAACATCAACATCATAGGGCTCAAAACCTACACTGTACCTTTAATGACCTTTACAACTTGATTCAGTGTCACTGCAATTATGCATGGTTCCATAAAATACATTTTATTTTATTACTTAAAACTAACTTCATATGATCTTTCCAGTCCAACAACTGTTCTCTGGCAAAACTCACACCAAAAGAGCTTGTTCGCCACCATGAAGAAGCTGAGGTATGTGTGGTATCCATGTTCTCTTTGAGCTTCATTGGTTGCCAGTTTTTCATTGTATCTATTTTAAAATTTTAAGTATTATCAGTGAATCAGTTAGCAATAGGTCCTGTTCTATGTATTCATTGAGATTACATTGGTTTATTGTGTTAGACCATCCTAAGGAGTGCATGCCGGCAACTTAGGGCACTAGATTGTTTTCCACCGCTGCCCCTACACTGAAGAACAGCCTTCCCGCTCATATCGATGATATTGAATCACTGGGCACTTTTAAGAGACATGTCAAAACATATCTTTTTATATTAGCTTTTACATAGTTTTAAAATATTTTTTATTTTATTTTCATTTTATAAATTGTTTTTTATTATTTTTCTTTCTGTTTTTTACTTTTTTATTGGTTTTATCTATCATAGATTCATTTTATAAATTTGTAAGACTAGTACGTGGACAATGTAAAACACTTTTGATCATTTTTTATGTTAAAAGGCACTATAGCAAATTAATAAATCATCATCATCATTATTATTATTATTATTATTATTATTATTATTATTATTATTACTACTATTATCAGTGATATACATGTACTATTAATGTCAGTGAAAAGTATTTTTTAATAAGGTGGTAAAATCTCTTCATCCTATGTTATTTTTCTCTCCTTGCAGGAAGCTGGAGGTTATTTTATAATAAACGGTATTGAAAAAGTAATAAGAATGCTTATCCTGCCAAGGAGGAACTTTGTAAGTTCACCAGCTCTTAATCCTTTAGCCCAAATATCCACACACAAATTCCCTACACTGATCTCCATACATTTTATGAAAGAATTAGTTGAGGTTTTGACAAAAGATCAAAGCATTTTCCCTTTGGTGATCAGTTCATCAATTCTCAAAAACTTTTCCCTAAATAGTGTGTGAATATAGTTGGGAGAAAATTGATGTTGACCACCTTAAGGACTTAAAAGGTTATATCACCATGGAATGGTGTTTTTTTATATTGTTATGACGTCAAAACCAATCATGCAATTCTGAAATTTTGG